TTCCCTTGTTCTCTTCTAACAGCTGCCATTGGAAGTGCTATGGAGCACAGTTCTACTCTCACGCACATGGGGTTGCCCTGAGTTGGAGTTGACTTGACAGCAACTGGTTACATACCTCTCTAGCTTCATTCCACTTTTTGTCCCCTTATACTAACATGGAGTCCTACTGTGGTGCTGTAGTATGAGCTCTCGACCACAAGGTTGGTATGAACCACAAGGTTGGTGGTTCAAACTCACCAGGTGCTCCCCGGAAACCCTAGACAGGATTGCTGTGGGTTAGAACCGACTCAGTGCCACTTAAGAACAACACCCCCACCAGGCATCCCTAATCAAATTAAAATGACTGCCATGCTCTCCCTTCACCTTTGGGTCTTTGCACTTGGTTCCTCTGTTGGAGTACAACTCTTAGCTAAATTTGTGCCCATCTTTTAGTTTCTGAGTTAATTTCTACTTCTTTGGAAGCACATACTACATAGTACATGTACATGGCATTCACCGGTTCTCCATCCATGCTTCTTGAATGTAATGCAGAGAGCACTGGACTTAGAGTAGGAGTGGGAAAGCCAAGGTTTGACTCCTAATCTTTGCTATGCAATGTCAGAGGAAATCACTTAGTCTCTTTAAATTCTAGTTTCTTCATCTCTAAAATGGGATAACACCACTTTTCTAATAGGACCAATGAAAGAATATATTGATATAATGTATATAAAAGGATTCTGTAAGCACTAACACACTATGCTCATGTAAATTGCTTCTACTCTTGTTACTACCACTGCTCCTACTACTACTACCATCTCTACCACCCTACCACTCCTCATGACCTTACGACCCTCACCAATCTCTGTATTGTGTTTTACATGGTTTTTGGTTTTTCAGAGAATGAAGACTTTACAAAAGAAATGATGGAGCTGTTTTCCCAGCTGCAAGTATCTTCTAACCCAGAGAAACTGACCAGAGTAAGTTATTATTTCTGGGTGATTTTTATGATTTTACTTAAATGGAATTAATGGATAAAGAGCACAAGATTTTGAATTCCTGGCAAGGGTATCACCAACCCTGAGGTATAATCTGAATTCTAAATTTTCTACCTGCCTTCTGCTAGACTCTTATCTACTTCCCATCCCCAACACATCTTGTATCTTTACCCATTTTCATTTGCAGTATTTGCTTGTCTGGGAGCTTAATTTAGGCCACAATATTGGTCATTGAACCCTTTCATAACCCAGGGATGTATAGTGTCCATCTACATTTTTCTCCTCTGGCGTTTTTTTGTTTTGTTTTTCTTTTAATGTTTTGTTGTGAATTGTGTGATATTCTACATGGGAGAACATTAGCTTTACATTCATTCCATCATCTATCATTTCATTGGCATAGTTACCATCCCATCCATACATTCTCACCCAACCAAAGGGTGTACCCTGTAAACCTGCACCACCACCCCCACAGTCCTCAGCCCCTTTCCATCTCCTGATCCCGAGTCTTCAGCCACACCATCTCTTGATGTCGTCTTCTCTGTCTCCCATCTCAGGCCTCACTGCTTCTCTGGGTAGGATCCTGCTCTCCGCTTTTCTCCATTGATGGTCCTAGGTTCTCCGGTCCTAGACTGAAAAGTTAATCACTCTCCTCCTTGCTACAAAATGTCCACCTTTAGATTTCCAACCCTCACAATCAGTCCTGTTAACAATTATTCACCATTGCATCACAAGAGACCCATATGTATTTTGTTTCGTCAGCCCTTCCTGGACAGGCTGGACACTATTCACTGGAGACTCTACCTTCCTCCACACCCTTTGTATCTAGGTTCCCTCTTGGAAGCTTGGAATCCAGTCACTTCTTACCTTTATATCCCTCCCCCATTTTGGGTAGCCAATGTCCAAGTTGCCCATCCCTGTCTACTCTTTGTGTGGAGGGGGTAGGAATAGTTCTTGCAGCAGGGACTTGTTTCCTCTTTTGAGCTACTGCATTTATAGGTGTAGGTCATGTTTATCTAATTGTATCAGATGACGCTTTTTTCCTCTTCTTTCTTCTTCGGGTTGAGCTCTGTTTATCCAGTCATTGAAGCCAGGTCAAGTGGGTATCATCTGCAAGTGTGGGTGTTCTTGCATCTGTCCAGCCTCTTTTTATTGGCTGGCCGCCCCGCTCTCCACTCTAGACCTCTGTGGCTGTGTCATTGACTCTGAGGCCATGAGTCTCCAGGTGTTGCCTTGCTACTGGCCGACCAGGTCTCCACCCGGGTTCACAGTAGTTAGCTGAACGATGTAGGGCTTAGCTCACCACTTCATTGATGTTCTTCGGTCACTTCCCCTTCTGAGTGATGTGCGTGGTTGTCAGTCAGAGCGTATATTTCCCTTGCGTCATAGTCTTGGAAGAGAATTTGCACTAAGAGGATCCTACTACTTGCCTTGATGTCTCCTGGGCAAGCAACCTGTATGTTCTTGTGGTAACAGTCGGACTGCCCTTATTGTTTTGTATTTTTCCTGTAGGTCCTTCTTTCAAGAAGTATCTTCTGGTTTTCTAGCCTCTGGCATTTTTTGGCAACTCCTTTCCCACTGACATTGCATGCAGCTGTCAGGAGGGGCCTGTATAACTATTTGAAATTGAAGAAATTATTGTTCTTATAGGGTGATGCATGTAAGTGAAGTGATGCATTTTGGAGGTGTGCTTTTATAAACTTTTGTTTCTTTCGGCTTTCTTTTCAGGTAGTAAACCTGATGGTACATTTATTTCCAGATTCCTTTGTACTCTTTGATAGTTACTTTTCTCACGATGATTCCATACTTGCAAAAATAGTTCATTTTCAGGCACCCTAAATTGTATGCACTTGGCATGGGATCTGTAAGACCGTGCAGAATCCAGAGGGATTTCTGTGTTCTACTAATACTTCTCCTCCCTAAACCCAGAAGGACACATATATCTAATTTTACCCTCAGCGTCTAGAGTAGAATTATGTCCTGTATAATTCTACCTCAGACTCCAGAGGCACATATGTGTACTACACAGTCCTATCCCCAGAGCCCAGAAGGCTGTGCATATCCCACTTATTATGTATAAAACTCCATATTTTATAACAACATTTCAGAAATACTCCTTGATTTGGCATGCCTTCCATTAATGAAAACACATGTTATCAACAAAAAATTCAAACCAGAAAACAATTGGATCGTGAAAGGGTTAAAGTCAGTGGTGTTGGTCTTAATGAGTCTCACTGTTTTCAGGACTCGGTAATTCAGTGATGATGGAATGTGGCCCTGTCTTTAAGGAGTTGGAAGTTGCCTTGTACCAGCGCTTTACAACTCAGATAATGACTGTGTAGCATGTGCACATGACAGAGTTTTATGGCCCAGCTCTTGGATCTTAATATTGGTTATGACTCCTGACCAGTCTTCACACATCTGGAACATGGAGAACTTCAGTCAGAACTCAGAATGAATAGGGAGGGCCTGTTTAAGGTCGGTATTCAATAACTTATATTATAGTGCCACACACAGGACACTGTTCACTGGGTCATGGACTGCTTGCTTCCTCTTCAGTCTCCTCTCTGAAACTGGAGAAACATGTCAGGAGCAGAGTCAGCAGCAGGTGCACATGGCTTCCTGGTCAGGGAGAACTGATAGCCACTGCATGGTCAGCATAGTCTTCCCTCCTGTGCTCCATCATATGGAATAGGTGCTTGGTTTGCTATCCCATTCTCCTGAGCCCAGTGGAAATGCTGCATTCTCCAACAAAGCTTTTCAGACCATACTCCAGCAGCTCATTCCTCTCATCTGAGCTGTAGCACTTTACCACACCACTGTCTGTCTTCAATGATAGTTTGTTTTTGTAAATGATTTCAAACTTAAAGAGAAGTTGCAAGAATAGTGCAAACACACACATCACATACCTTTTATACAGATTTACTTATTGCTACCTTTTTATCTTAATTGTTTAATTATTTGTGTTTACATGTGAATGTGTGCTGTCTCTATATATTTATATGCGCAACTAAACACCTTATTTTTGAACCATTTGAGAGTAAGTTGCAGATACTATATTTACCCCTAAATACTTTAATTATTATATCCTAAAAATATAGATATGCTCTCTGGCCGACTGATTGGAAGAGATATGCCTTTACATAATTACATTACAGTTACCCATTTGGTGTGGCACTGTAGGATAAGCATTGGACTGCTAACCAGAAGGTCAGTGGTTGAAACCCATCAGCCACTCTTTGGAGACCCTATACAGGGTTGTTATGAGTTAGAACCTACTTCATGGCACTTAACAACAACACTACCGCGTTACTTTTATTACTCAGTTGTCTATATTACAGTTTTGTCAGTTCACCCAACAATGCCCTTTGTATCAAATTGTCCCTTGTAACAGTGGACCCAGTGTACGCTCACACGTTTTCAGTTTCCGTTGTTGTGTACTTTTAGTCTCCTTTAATCTGAAATAGTTCCTTAGCCACTTTTTGTCTTTTATGACACTGATCTTTTTGAAAAGGTTGTCCCCCTCTTCCTTTTATAGGAGTAGAACATTCCTTATTTAGAATTTTTCTGGTGTTTTCTCATGGTTAGAGTTAGGTTATGTGTTTCCAGCCAAAATGCTCCACTACATGATGTTGTGTTCTTCTCAGAGCATCAAGTCTAGAGGCACACAATGCTCCCCTGACCCTCATTGCCCATGTGTTGTCTGGCATGTCACTGTACAATACTATTTTGACCTATGCTAGTGGGAAGATACTTCAAGACCATACATCTATCCTTTCCCTCTTCATAATTTCCCTGCTAGGTTTGCTATTGAATCAGGATTTTTGTTGAACCAGTCTTTACTATGGTGGTTGTAAAATGGTGATTTTTTTTTTTTTTTCCCCAGCCCAATACTCTCTCCATATTACCTGTTGAATTTGGGTATCCTACTATAGTCAAGAGTTTTACTTTCTTCCCTATGTCTCTGTTTGTTATCGTATAGCCTCATGGGTTTCTTTCTTTCTTTCTTTTCCCCCACTGGGGGTTTATAATTCATCACTGTCACTAATTATTTTGATGTTCAGATTGTTCTTCAAGCTGACTCCTATGCCCTAGTGGCATACAACCATCATTTTCTGAGTACTTCATTTGCTTTCTGGCATAACAAGCTATTCCATGGTTTATATTTACATAATATGTGATTTTGAGCAAATCCTGTTCCTTCTTCAGGTCTTATTTTGGTCAACTGGAGATAAGCTGTTGGAGAAGCTAAGCTCAAAGATGACTTTTCAGTTAATTTCTTCATCCAGATCTTACCAAGTGTAAGTTCTGGGCTGAATCAAAAAGGAGTAACAGTAACAATTTTGGAAAGCGTTGATGAATTGCTTTGAGTTGGTACAGTGGTTCTTGGTGACCTCACTTAGTATATTTATTCCAAGAGAATCATGTTGTATGGCTGTCTGCCTATTAAAATATATCTCATTCAAGTTTATATACCAATTTTTTAACTTCATATACCAATTTTTCTTTTATTTGGCCTTATATATCTCTATCTTTCTTTCTTTTTTAATCTCAGATAAATACATTCCTGGTGTTTCTCTCATTTTACATTTTTAAAGGAATTATAAAGAGCTTCTTACACTGTTTGGACTATTAGTTGTTAGAATTCTTTCTAGTTCCATCTCTCATTATACTCTTCTGTAGTCCTTATGCTCTCCACCCTGTATATTCTTTGCTTACTGACCTTTGTTTTTCCTCAGGTAAACCAAGCTGATTTCCCTCTGCTTACAACTCTCTTTGCCTAAATATTTGTATGACTGACTCCTTTTCATCCTGTAGATTTTAGCTCAAGTATCACTCTCTAGAGACCCTTTCCAATCAGTCACCCAAACTGAAGCTGCCCACTGCTCACCTACTCCACACTCCATCATTCCATTTCATTTGCTTCATACATTTATTTCTTGTTTGTCTCTTATTGACTTTCTTACTAGAATAAAGAAGAAGATCAGGATCCTTGTTGGTATTCATCAATGTATCCTCAACACTTAGCACTGTGTACAGTAGACATTTACAATACAGAGATCTACTAATAAATTCATGTACCTTATTCTCTGGTCTTGCCAGATATCTCAGTTTCCTCAATGCAACTTACGTTTTCTTACTTCTGAGTTCTGAGTTTACTGTTTTTGTTTTAAATTTTAGTTACATAAATAAGTAAGGTGATAGATCAGAGCAAGATTGTTCTTTAGGGTTTTTGTGGGAGACTATATATTACAGGGGAAAGAACTGTGCAGTGAATGTCTGGATACACAGGGTCTGTTCTGGCTTATTCACATTGTATCTTTGGATGAAAACCCACCTGTTGATCCTTAAAGGACCAACTCCAATTCCATATCTATAATAAGACCTGTGATTCTCTTAAATGGAATGACTTCCATTGCTTGGTTACAATTTCTTGGAACATTCTGTCGTATGTAAATTATTCAAGTGAATACCTTCATTTCAAGGCAGTAAACATTTACTTAGAAGCCAGGACTCTGTTAGAAATGATAGAGACTTTAAGTCAGCCTAGTTTAAGAAAAAAGAGGAATTTATTAGCTCTAGAAGTAGAGTTAAGGGTCAGAATTGACTTTAGCATGACTCTGTCTAGGAAATGGTCCCACATCCTTCTCTTGGCTCTGTTTTCTTCTGTTTTGGCTTCATTCTTAGGGAAGTTTTTCCTCCTGTCAGTGTCAGAGCCAAAGGAAACTAGAAACAACCCAAAGGTATATCAGCAAAGAATGGATAAATTGTGGTATTTGTATAAAATGATATATTATACAGCAGTACATTCCATGACCTATTGATACATGCAATAACTAGGCTAAATCTACTAGACTTCAGTTGAACAAAATACATCAGATGCAAAATAGAACATACTTATGGTTCCTATATATATATGTGTGTGTGTGTGTGTGTGTATTAAAACAGGTAAAATCTGTAGTGAGACAGAAGAAGAATTTCCTTTGAACAAAGGGAAGGAGACACAGTACTAACTAGGAAGGAGCATGAAAGGACTCTGGGTTATTGAGGATGTTCTTTATCTTGATCTACCAGTTGCACAAGCACATATGTATGATAACATTTCTTCAGCTGAACTCTGGAGTTTGTGCACTTTATATAAAGTATGTTGTTGTTGTTAAGTGCCGTTGAGTCCTTTCCGACCCATAGCAACCCTGTACAGGGTTTCCAAGGCTGAAAATCTTTATGGGAGCAGAAAGCCTCATCTTTCTCCTGCGGAGCAGCTGGTAGTTAAGAACTGCTGACCCTAAGGTTCACAGCCAAATTCGTAACCACTACGTTACCAGAGCTCCTAAAAATAAAGTATATACTTCAGTGTTTTAAAGTCAAAGGACTAGAGAACTTCATGGAAGAGTGGACAGCAGTAAATGGTGAAGAGAGGTCTCGTAAGATAAAGATAGAAAAGCTACATAAGACGTTTAGGTAAGAGTATTAGCACTGACTTCCATGAGGTTAGCATAATCTGAAGTCAGAGGACTATAATTTTCTTTTTTGTGTTTAGGCCAGGAATACCATCAACGAGTGGATCACGACATCTCTTACCCAGCCATTAGCTGAAAAATCAGAAGAGGAAAAATATTTGGAGATACAAAGGACTGAACAGATCAATCAAAACTCAATAGAGGTAACCAAGTAAAAAGCCATATCTTGCATGTTTGAGATGAGTGCACCACAATCTGGAATCCAAGCTCCTTCTGTTTTGTTGCACTACTATGCACATTTTCAATCTTATAGTCCAATATTATTGTTAAGTGCTGTCAGGTCAGTTCTGACTCATAGCAATTTGTCCAATATTATAGCATCTTAATGCTATAGGATGAAAGAAAAAGATATAGGGCTGCATGTGAGGTATCATAAGGAAGGTTCCAAGAAGCTATCATGAGACACTTTCTGTCTGAATCCCTTTGGCCAGAACTTAGATAGATGACACCACCTGACTTCAGGGGAACCATTGGTTTTGCAGTTATGAGTCAAGTCAAAGAATGGAAAGTGTTTATTTAGGGACCTGGAGTCCTGGTGTGATGCTGTGGGTTAATGTGCTGGACTGCAAGGTCAGTTTGAACTACAAGATCAGCAGTTCAAGTTCATCAGCTGCTCCCCAGAAGCCTTATGCAGGGTTGCTATAAGTTGGAACCAACTCAATGGCACTTAATGACAATGACATTAGTGTCTGCCAGACTCCAATTGTGATATTGGAGGATAAGCACTGGACTGCTAACCACAAATTGGGCAGTTAAAACTCACCAGCTTTCCTTGGAAACCTTATGCAGGGTTGCTATGAGTTGGAACCAACTCAACGGTACTTAACAACAACAATTAGTGTCTGCCAGGAGGCCTTGGTGGTGCAATGATTAAATGCTTGACTGCTAGCCAAAAGGTCAGTACTTTGAACCTTTCAGTGGCTCCAAAGAGGAAACACCTGGCAATTTGCTCCTGTATATATTAAGAAAAAGCCAAACAAAATAAACCCCACTGCCATGGAGTCCATTCTGACTTTTACTGTTGTTGTTGTTAAGTGCTGTCAAGTCGGTTTGACCCATAGCGACCCCATATAGCATTTCCAAGGAGCCGTTGGTGAGCTTGAACTGCCGACCTTGCAATTCAAACTGACTTTGCAGTCCAGCGCATTAATCCACAGCACCATACCAGGACTCCATTCTGGCTTTTAGCAGCCCTTTATATAGGGTTTCCAAGACTATAAATCTTTGTGGGAGCAGACAGCCTCATCTTTGTACTGCAGAGTGGCTGGTGAATTTGAATTGCCAGCCGTGCAGTTATTATCAGTCCAGTCCTTATCCTACAGTGCCACTGAAAAAACCCTATATGGGCAGTTCTTCTGCTCTACCATGTAGGATCACTATGACTCTGAATTGAGTAGACAGCACAAAACAGCATTAGTGTCAGCTGTATTCAGGGTATTCTTCAGAATGAGAGAGAAACCTGGTTACATCATTTCCTAGAGGATTTTTAAAAAGCAATGTTTTGGGGCTCGTGGGTCTCAGGGACCCAAAAGCTGAGTAATTCTTCATGCCCCGGGGGCTATGCCTGGTGGCTTTGCTGCTGTCACTATGCCACAAAACGAATGTATTGAATTACACCATAAGCGCTATGGATAGTTTGGAGTGTCATGAGAAAAAGAGAAAGAAGGAAAGTCGAGAGGCTCCTGAATGTTCGAAGAAGTCCAAAAAGATGATTGGTCTGAATGCTAAGCTCTACCATAAACAGCGCCATGCTGAGAAAATACAAATGAAAAAGACTATCAAGATGCATGAAAAGAGAAACACCAAACAAAAGAAATGATGAGAAGACTCCACAAGGTGCAGTACCTGCCTATCTGCTGGACAGAGAGGGGCAGTCCCGAGCTAAAGTACTTTCCAATATGATTAAACAAAAACTAAAAGAGAAGTGGGAAAATAGGAAGCCCCTCTGCCCAAAGTCTGTGCCTAGGGAGAAACAGAAGTATTAAAAGTTATTCGGACAGGAAAGAGAAAAAGAAAGCATGGAAAAGGATGGTTACCAAAATCTGCTTCGTTGGAGATGGCTTTACACGTAAACCACCTAAATATTTAAGATTCATCAGACCAATGAGCTTATGTTTCAAGAAGGCTCACATAACACAACCTGAACTTAAAGCCACCTTTTGCTTACTGATACTTGGTGAGAAGAATTGCTCATCCTGCTGTGTACAACTCTGGGTGTAATCACCAAAGGGACTGTCACTGAAGTGAACGTGAGCGAGTTGGGCCTGGTGACACAAAGAGGGAAGGTTATCTGGGGGACATATGCTCAAGTTACCAACAATCCTGAAAATGATGGATGCATAAAATGCAGTCTTACTGGTTTGACAGCAGCTTCCTGTAAGTCATTCCTTATTGGTGAAGAGTACAACCAGGAAAATCACCATCACCTGTGTTTCTGAGTACTCCCAAATAGCCTTACCAGCCGCAGTCATCAAGAACTATTTGTTATTTTAAAAACATTTAAATTGTCCAGTTTTACCAAAAAAATAAATAAATAAAAAAGCAGCAATGTTTTGTTTTCTTAGTCTCTGTTTTGTTTTTACTCCCAGGATATCCATGCATTTGCAATCCGGAGCCTAGCAGAACTGACTGCTTGCTCAATTGGACTGTTCCATAAAACAGCAGCATTGGTTCTACATGGTCAGAAGCAGGAAGTGACAGCTGTAGAAAGGAGCAGAGCTCTTTCCCAGTAAGTATCCTGAGTACCCTAACAGATGCAGATAGCTGAAAGAGCTTTCTTGGCTTATTTCCTGAAATTGAGATATTTCCTTCTCAACAAGCTGCTATTCACATTGCTTCCTTTTACACATTAGAGGTTTCTTCATTTGGGGATTGAACTAATATGTAGCCAAGGATGTTTCTTTTTGCTGAGCCTTGATAAATCTACATTATAAATCTGACCTTTATTGAGCAACTCATGTTCTGAAAACTAGTTCTCAGTTTATTATTGTTAACAGCCACCCAGTGACGCTGTGAGAAAATGATCTGAAAATCATATTCATAAAGATTTCAGCTTAGGAAATACATGGGTCACTGTGAGTCGGAGTCGATTTAACAGCACACAACAATACATACACGTGTTGTTGTATGCTGTCAAATCAGTTCCGAATCACAGTGACCGTTTTTAGGGTTTCCAAGAGTAGCTGGTGGGTTTGAACTGGCAACCTGTGGTTATTGATCCAGTGCTTATCCTACACAGCTACACCAAGGCTCCATATACATATACATCCTGATGTGGCACTGCAGGATAACGCAGTGGACCACAAGGTCATTGGTTCAAACCTACCAGCCACTCCTCAGAAACCCTGTACAGGGTTGCTGTGATTCAGAATTGAATTGACAGCACTTAACAACAAAAATAGATGAGTGGAGCTTCAAAAAGCTCATAGAAAAATTCTCTTACCTTTTGATTTCATTTTCTACAAATTTTTTAAACCTCTTTGTATATATGAGATGATATGTATATTTAATTTTATTTGCACATATATAGTTTTACCCTTGGAGTCCTGGTCTGGTGCCATAGAATAAGCACTTGGCCTCAAGGTCGTTTTGAACCACAAGGTCAATAATTCAAACTCACCAATTGCTTCTCGGAAACTCTATTCAGGGTTGCTATGATTTGGAACATACTTGAGGGCACTTACAACAACAATAACAATCTTCTACTTAATTAGCAATTTAAGTTAGAATTTATGAAAACTGGGATTTTGCTTATTCACTGGTATTTCCTTGGTACTGTAGAACAGTGCCTGGAACATAGGAGACTTTCAGTAAATATTTGTTGAATAAATTAATGAAAGTATGTGTATTTATTTTAAATATATTTCTAAATGGAATGTGGAGTCTTTTAAGCCCTCTGTTGTCTCCTTAAAATGTATTTCCTTTGACTTAACTGTAATACTTTCTAGAGGATTTTGTAGAAAAATATTATCTGAAGACTGAATTTCTACTTTCTTGTAGCATGAATCCTGCTCAAATGGGTCCCCAAATACATTCCTATTCTCATATAGTACTAACTTTTCTTCCAATAGTTGTTAAATATAGCTTTGTAAAAAGATGAAAAGGAATCCTTCTGACTCTTCTCCCTTCTTTCCCAGGATGACAGTTGTATTGTGTAAAGAGCTGTCCACTCTGTCTAAAGAGTTCACCACCTGCCTTACAAGGACTGGGGTAAGAATTCATGTCTCTCATTGGGCTAATACCTGGTTTTTAACAGCTTTAGCAAGATGTAATTTATGTATTATGAAATTCACCTATTTAAAAGTATTGTAAGTCAATGTTTTTTAGTATATTTATGAAACTGTGTATCTTCTTTGAAGAAAAGTATCTTCAAATCTGTTGCTCATTTTAAAATTCTTTTTTCTGTCTCTTAATTATTGAGCTATGAAGATTTATTGATATGGCACTGTAGCATAAGTACTGGATTGCTGGCCTCAAGGTCAGTGGTTCAAAACATCAGCTGCTCCTCGGAAACCCTTTACAGGGTCCTGTGTATTGGAACCAACTCAACAGCACTTAACAGCAACAACAAAAGCAAAGCGTTTTTTATATGTTCTGAATACAAGTTTCTTACAGATGTATGATGTGCATGTATTGTCGCCAGTGTGTAGGTTATCTTTTTACTTTCTTTTTATTTTTCTCTCTTTGCACTTTCTTGATAGTATTTGTTGATGCACAAATGTCTTAAAATTTAACCAAGTTCTACTTGTAACTATTCTTACCACTTGTGGTTTTGGTATTGTATCTTAAGAAATCATTGTATAATCCGAAACCACGCTGATCTGCTCCTGGGTTTATAGTTTTATCTGTTACATGTATGTCTATAATTCATTTTGATTTAATTTTTATATATGGTGTGAAGTAGGGGTCCAAATTGTATGCTTTTACACCACTTGTACCAACACCATTGTTAAAAGATAATTATTTCCCTACTGAATTGTCTTGGCTCCTTCGTTGAAAATCAGTTAACTATAAATATATGGATTTATTTTTGGACTTTCCTATCTATTCTTTTAATAGATGTCCTCTTGCTAGTACCACACTGCTTTAATTACTTTTGCTTTGTATACATTTTTTCAATCTAAAAGTATGAGTACTCCAATTTTGTTGTTCTTTTTTTCAAAATTGTTTTGGCTATTCTAGATTCTATGAATTTCCATGTGAACTTTAGGATCAGTTTGCTTATGTCTAGTTGATACTTAGAATTCATTTTTATTGGTTCTTTCTAAGAAGTCTGCAATAAGTATATTTGTGCTGCTCTCAAAGACCTGTGGGCTTCAAAAAGTTCATTGACAAATAGAATTAAAAGATAATTGAATTTTGCCATGAACTTTTGAAGCCCTCTTATATAGCTAGATCTTGATGGAAACCCTAAATGTTGACTCTGGTATTAAAGAGTATCTTCTTATTACCAGTTTGAAAAAATTGCAACACGAAAAAGATTTTTAAAATGCAGTTGTAATTACTTATTGCAGTGTGTGAACTATGGAAGATGGTTGAGAAATTAATAATCATGTATTATAATAAAAAGAGCTCTGGTACTGTAGTGGTTACGAATCGGGCTGCAAACCTTAAGATCAGCAGTTCGAAACTACCAGCTGTTCCGTGGGAGAAAGATGAGGCTTTCTGCTCCCGTAAAGATTTACAGCCTTGGAAACCCTGTACAGGGTCACTATGAGTCGGTTCCGACTCCACAGCATATAATCAACAAACCATAATAAAACCAGGGGCATTTTGAACAGGCAAATGAAAATCACTTTGTAGTAAGTATATCAGTGCCAGTGTAGCAATAAAGTTAAAATTATCTTAATTAAGACCATAGTGTGGCGCTGTGGGTTAATGCGCCAGACTGCAAAGCCATTTGAACTGCAAGGTCGGTGGTTCAAGCTCACCAGTTACTCCTCGGAAACCCTATACAGGGTCGCTATGGTTCGGAACCGACTTGATGGCACTTAACAAGTTTCAGTTTAGATTATTTCTGTAAATGATAATCTTGTGATACAGCTTCTCTTTTCCTGTTAACATTTTCTTTAAAAGAGCACCTGGATTTCTTGAAATTATTTTCTGAGGCTAAACCTTTTCATGTGTTCCATAAAGATACTTTACCCATAAGATCAATTATAAGCTGCTAACAGGTACAAATATAAAACTTGTATCATGAAATTCTAGGTCATGAGACTTTTCCAAACAGCCTGTCTTAAATTTTAAATAAATATTAAAAATTTTTAGAGCACATGTTCTATATGCATAATTTATTTTAAAATGGTTTAAAGTATGTACTTTATGTATGTCATATGTACTCTTGTCTCATAAAATGAAACTATTTTTTAAAGTCAATAAAAAAACTTTAAAGAAATACACTTTCAATTCAGATAACATAGAAGGTGTAAAGGAAGTTGACAGCACTTACCGATTTCATATTTCAGAGATGTCTGTGCCAAAATACTTATATTTATGTGCAGTGGCATGTGTATGTTACAGAGTGATAACATGCAGTACTTCCTGTTTTTTAACCTGCTCTGACACCTAACACTGTGTTCTTTGTTCTAGGTCAAAGAAAAGGCAGACATTCTTAACCCGATAATCACTGCAGTATTTCTAGAGGTTAGTGCAGTTGTTTTTAAGTCGCAGACTCCTAAAGGATATGTATTAATGAGCTCTTCATAAGTCTTTAGTCTCTGGCTTTTTAGTTAAAAAAAAAATTCACCTGATTGGGAGATTAACCATGTTGATACAGATACCACAATGGTGTGTATTTGTACCATGGTGGAAATGAAGAAGCTGTCATTACTTAATACTACCCCATGGCAGCTTAGTGGACAGTTATCAGTAATGAAACACTTTCTGGAGACCAGCTGGTAAGCATGAAGGGCTGAAAATTACAAATAGGCAAGCATTGCTTCCTAAAGGATTAAGGCTTACATAGAGATTTGTTAAAAAACAAAACAAAAAAAACATTTTGTCATTTCCTTGGCAAGAAATCTTGCTTTATTTTGCCAAAGAGGTATCTGTGTTTTCATAATCTTTGTCAGTTTATTAGATTTGGAAGGCGGAAGATTGAAGCCCATGGAAGAAGTGAGGGTGGGAGGATTTCATGATCAATTTTACTGCTGCCCTATGTGATGCTTTCTGGAGTTCATGTTTTAAGAACTCTATCTTGTAAATGAATTCTTCCGACAGTTTAGACTTTGGATGATCTGTTTATGTGTATTTATTTAATTCTGAATGGAGAAAAAATATATTTGCTCATTGGTTAGGTTTTAAATATAAGTAAAAATTTTAACTTTGGACAGTTGTCTGTCTAGTTTTAAATTAAAAAACAAAAAATACCACCAAGGAAATGCTTTTAATTCCTTAACTGCATAGTTTTTTTAAATAGTCAAATAAGTTCTTTGGACATTTGAACTTTTTTCCCCCCAAGGGGGCTTCAAAAAGTTCATAGTAAAATTCCATTGTCTTTCAGTTCGATGAACTTTTGAAGCCTCCTCCTGTATGCAAATACACACACACATACACACACGCACACACGCACGTATTTTTGTGATTTAGGAGATTATAGAATGGTATAGTTGAAAGAGGCTCATATAGAAAGCAAAACCAGGAGTTTAGTCCTGTCTTGGATCTGCTCTGATTTGCTGGATGACCCTGAACCAGGCGTTTTTACCTTCTTGGCAATCTCATTATCTTCATGTGCAAAGTAGATTTAACTAGATCATCTCTGAGATCTCTCTTGGGTGAACTAGTTGGTATGTCACACTGAGTTTTAAATAGGAATGAGTACGACTTGCCATTGCTAACTCCAGAAAGAGCATCTCACTTGATATGGGGTGTTCTTCATTGCTATTTTGAGTTGCTTGTTCATGCTTAACAGATTTGGACTGTTGTCCTTGAAATTATACATTTTTATCTTAATGTAATGGACTTTCCATTGTGAATCTTCTGGAAGGTGAGAGAGCCTGTCAGTTTTAAATGAAGTCTGGCAAATTCTGAGCATAATGATTCTGTAGTGCTCTTCATAGATATGTTTGCTGTGCCAGATAGGAATATATCTATACTGTGTCATCTTTGGAAGCAGTATCCCTTGATTATGTTTGTGACCAGCTATCTTGCATTCACTAATTGCATTGAGTCTGTTATCACAGTGGGCTGGAAACCTGGTAGGTTTCATAACTTTCTGAAACCATTCTTCAGTAATTGACTCACTCAGGGACTAAAGAATCTTCAGATTATGAGTTTGAGCAGGATATGAAAGAACAGCTACCATTTTTGATGGTCAAATTGGACAAAATGTTGACATTCTTTTTTAGTGCTATTATATCATCTTAAGAGCTAGATCTTTTCCCCCCTACAATGGAGTTTATTGAAATGGTCAAGTGTGTTTTTATTTGGCAGACTATGAATTCAGTTAGGTTGCAAAAGTTAATCTGTTCTTTGGTTGTATGTTTTTTCTTTTATGGTGACTGCGATATTTTCTTTTTCTTGCTATTTTCAAATCCTGGCAGGCATCAAACAGTGCTTCCTACATTCAGGATGCCTTTCAGCTACTCTTACCTGTGCTGGAGATCTCTCTCATCGAGAGCAAGACTGAATTGCCACAGGCATGAGCTGTATGCCTAGTGGCCTCTGAAAAAACATTGAAGAACAGAGGAGATTTTACTTGGACTTGTCACCACTTTTGGATACTCCTGAAGAAGTGAGAGAAAAGGGTTATTTTAGTATTGAAAAATTAAGGCAGGAGAGCCAACTTAAAGGGGAAATTTGTTGCCTTTGCTGCTTGGCCGAAGCAGTCATGCCCTCACACTACTGTTTCCAATTGTTATAATTAAATTTGAAAAAAAAAAAACACAACTAAAAACCTTTTGCAGAAAATCCAAGGATAAAGGCTCTAGATAAACATTAGTGGGTCACTTGGGCAAAAATACTGTTCATTCTTTGACATGATGCGAAACACTAACACTTTTGCCATGAATATAATTGGTTGTTACCCAAGAGAGAGAGAGCGCTTAATTTAGCATTCTAGAATTCACATACTTGGCCTATTAATGGCATCGCTTATCCTTTCTAGAATAAAATCTATTCATGTTAGAAAATCAACTATGTAAGAACTCTGTCATGATTATCATGTAAATTTTTGGAAATGGGTATGAAATTGCATCTGCTGTTTTATTCTTAGCAGTTATGTGGCATTAAGGAGAAAGTTTTAGAATTTTTAGCCACGTAAATTATTATAGGTGTCCATGGCTTTAAATAGCCTCCCAACCCCCTCCCTAGGATTATAAGCCTCAAGTTAAAGCTGAGCCCCACTTAACTGGATCCAAGACCATTAAGTGCTGTTTATAGAAATGGTTTCATGTTTGCAGATATTCTGTCTCTCCAGGATATTTCTCATGCATACCCTATATGCGGAATAAATTCTGTAACAGCCAACTCCAAAGGAGTGTTGTAGCTAATTGTTAGAATATTGCTGAAACAGACTGTAAAGTTCCATTAAAATGATGTTAATTTATAACAGGATTTAACCTATAAAACACAGTCTATTTTTTCCTCATTCTTTTTGTTTGTTTTCATGTATGATTTAGCATATTTTCAGTTGTAAGTTTTACCCATATGGTCTTAAGCCCCTTTTGCTCACTTCAGCAGCGTAAGAAACTTTGAAGCTGTCATCTTCCTAAAGGTATCTACACTTTGTGAAAAGTTCTCCAACTTTGTTGTATTTAATGATTCGTTAACTTTTGTGAACTCTCCCATTCATAAAACCTGTAAAAATCAAATTTAATAATTGTGTCAGTTCTTTCATTTACTCTCCTAAACATCAGCCCCCCAACATCTTTATCAGACCAAGAAAATAGCAAAGCCGAGCTATAACACAGATTGATATCAACTCTGTTTCTGTAATCTTATTCAGGCTTGGGCAGTTTATAAATGTTGCTGTTGTTGTTAACTGCCGCCGAGTCGATAGCGACCCTGTGTAGGGTTTCCAAGGAGCAGCTGGTGAGCTTGAACCACCGACCTTGCAGTTCAAACGACTTTGCAGTCTGATGCATTAGTCCACAGCACCACACCAGGACTCCAGTTTATAAATAGGAGGTAAATAAATAGATCTGGACTAAAAACATATACCAGTGTAACGTCACTCATCCAGCTTCCTCCTTGTTTTTCCTTGTTTTCATTCATCCTTCTTTTCTAACCTTTCTGAACTTTCTCTTTGGGCAAATACTGTCCTTTTGAGTTCAAATGGTTGATTATTCTGAGGTGTGCATACCTCACTCATGTTACGTAGTTCCCCTTATAGACCTCTCTATTGTTTGAGCCGTGGGGGTGAATTTATATTCAGACCTGAATGGTCACTAAATGTCATAGTCTTTAGTGGTTCTACCAGTCTCTATCTGACCAGTAAGCTTAGTCTTTCTTATGATTTTGATTTTCAGATTTTTCTTCCACTTTATCCAGGACCTTTTAGATCAAGTGGTAGTGGTAGCTAGGGACCATCTGGTTTTTCTGGTCATAAGGTTGTGGATACCTATGTTCACGTGACATGTTAGTCCAGTGGACTAATTGTTTCCCTGTGTCTTTGATTTTCATCACTCTTCTTTCCTCAGGACAGAAGAGATTCAATAGTTGCCTCTTAAATGACCGTTCATGAGCTTTTAAGACCCTAGTTGTAACTATGAGTGTTTTCAGCGATAAGTTTCACCCTTCTCTGTCCACCTAACAATTTGAGTCATTCTGAAGTTTCAGAAAAACACTTGCCATGTGATTAATAAGGCTGGTGTCCACCAGTCTCAATTTTTTGCGTTTGACTAACTTGATGTGTCTGAGCTTGTATCCTTTGAGCAAGATTTAGAAACTGGTCACAATACCTATTACCTTTTCCACTTATTATGCAGTGGTATTATAGAAACTTGTACTCTTTGATATTGAAATGTTATCTAAGATTTTCTCAAGAGGAGATATATAGGTATTTTGGGATGGGTCAGTGACTGTGAACCTATCCAGATTGCAGCCCTTAATTTAGCTAATTTTTTATTGGACCTTACAAAGGGGAATCTGACTCCCTGCATCTTTTCTTTCTCTTTCATCTTATCAGTCACCCACCCTGCTCAAATGCTTTGTTTTTCAAATTCTTCATTGTGAATTGAGTGAAGGTTTACAGAGCAGAAGGTTTACATTCAACAAATCATATATTTCATTTCGTCTCAATGATTGCAATCCTCTTAATTCAACATCCCTTATCTCACTTCCTATGATTCTTGATTCCATCCCACCTTCTTTCCCAACCTTTTTGAATTTTGACCTTAGTTAAAATGCTGCCCTTTTGCTCTTGGATGCTTGGCCATTCCATGATGTGCATACTTCACTAGTGTTGTCGTCCTCCTATATACCTATCTTCTTCTTGGCCAAAAATTAAGCCATGAGAATGAGTTCAGTTCCACACCTAAAGGGTGACCGAGTAGACTGGGTTCCTCTAGTCTACTTCTGACCAGTAAACCTGGTCTTTGTTGTTGTTGTTCCATATTATCTCCCACTCTATCCAGGACCTAATGTGATCCCTTTCAGAGCAGTTGACAGTGGTAGCCAAGCACCGTGTAGTTTTTCTAGTCTCAGGGTCGTGGAGACTGATGTTCACATGATCCATTAGTCCACTGGACTAATTGATTCCAAGTGTCTTCACTTTTCATCATTTTTCCTTCCTCCACATAGGGAGAGACCAATAGTAGTACCTTAACTGGCCACTCATGAGTTTTTAAGATTCCAGTCGCTACTCACCAAAGTAGAATGTAGAACATTGTTTTTGTTGACTATGTTATGCCAATTGACCATGGTGTTCCTCAAGCCTATGGTCGGCCCAGTACTAATTCCCTCAAGGTATTTGGTAATGTTTAAGAAGTCTTCCTAATGTTGCCCCCTGCATAAGGAGCTCTGGTAGCGTAGTGATTACAAATCGGGCTGCTACCCTCACCCTCAGCAGTTTGAAACTACCATCTGTTCATGGGAGAAAGATGAGGCTTTCTGCTCCTGTAAAGATTTACAGCCTCAGAAACCCTGTGCAGGGTCGCTATGAGTTGGAAGCATCTCCATGGCACACAACAACAACAACATGCTCCACCATGAAGTCCTGGTGTGGTGCTGTAGTGTACTGGTTACGAGTTGGGTTGCTAACCTCAAGGTCAGCAGATCAAAACTGCCAGCTGTTCTGTGGGAGAAAGATGAGGCTTTCTGCTCCCAGAAAGATTTATAGCCTCAGAAACCTTTGCAGGGTGGCTATGAATCGGAACCGACTCCACGGCACACCACCACCACCATGCTTCCCCATGGAGTCCTGTTGTGACGCTGTAGGATAAATACTGGACCACAATGTTGGCTTGAACTGCAAGGTCGGTAGTTCAGACTCACCAGCTGCTTCTCGTAAACCCTATACTGGGTTGCTGTGAGTCAGAGCCAACTTGATAGCACTTAACAACGCCAACAATGCTCCACCACATTCTTGGCTAGGTTTGCAGCAAAGGTAAATACCCATGTATAAATATCCTTTGTCAAACTTTTATATGTTTGTAGGTATACTTTCACTCTCCTTGACATACCTGGTCAGCCTGTGTATCTATCCATGTACCTACTAGTAGGTCATTGTTATTGCAGGGCTGTGTATATAACAGTATTTGCCTCTATTCCTTCTAACTCTTGCACTCCTCCCTGTGTATTTCCCTGTCTTCATCATTCTTCTTCCAACCTCCCTCTTGCATATTACCTTCCCCATCACCCAAGTTAACATGTGTCTATCATCTAGTCAGTGAATTACTCTCCCTTCCCTACCACCCCTGGTAACCATCAAAGAATGTTTCTTTTAGTCTAAAAATTAGTTTCTTGATTCCCACCCCACCCCCATTAATGGCCTCATACAGTATTTGTTCTTTTGTGATTAACTATTTTCACTCAGCATAATGTTCTCCAGGATCATCCATGTTATAAGGTTCCGTAGTTTCATTATTAATTCTTCAATGTTGCATAGTATTCACCCAAATGTTTTCAATGGAGTTGGGAACAGTGGTGATGAAATTAAATAATTCTGCCCACTTCTTCAAGGAGCTCTGGTAGCGTAGTAGTTACGAATCAGGCTGCGAACTGCAAGGTCAGTAGTTCGAAACTACCAGCTGTTCTGTGGGAGAAAGATGAGGCTTTCTGCTCCCGTAAAGATTTACAGCCTTGGAAACCCTGTACAGGGTCGCTATGAGTCGGAACTGACTCCACAGCACATAACAACAACAACCCACTTCTTTGGAGTCCTGGTGTGATGCTGTGGGTTAATGCGCTGGACTGCAAAGTCGGTTTGAACCACAAGGTCAGTAGTTCAAGCTCATAAACCGCTTCTCTTAAACCCTATACAGGATTGCTATGGGTTGGAACTGATTCGATGGCAGTTAACAACAACAACCCACTTCTTTAGTCTGAAGTTGATCAAATATGCATTGATCAAACATGTATTGATAATTACTGGTGTTTGGAATGCAAAACTTGGAAACAGAGGAAGGGTGTGTTAGAAATAATGCTGGAGATCGCTTGATAGAATTTTACAAGGCCAATGACTTAACACGTTGTATGTACCTTA